TCATTCATTGCAGACAACGAGCACAGATCATCATCTTCCCCAAGCTGAGCTGTTTTGCTTATGTAAGCTTTTGTTGTCAGGTATTGGGTACGCAAAATCTGGCAACAGCGGAACAGTACTTGTAAGGAAGGAACGATGGACATAACGGGTTGTCCAGCGCATTGGCTGAGAGCTGTAGACCAGAAATATGTTTCGGAACTGAATCTGTCCGTGATTCGTACAGTAAACGCGTGCTGTTTTTGGACCTTTGATTTGATTTCACCTTCATGAGCCCGTTTCTCTCGGGACTTCTTCCTTGAAAGGTCCTTGAAAGGGAAAGTGGCTATTTTCGAGCGGTTTGTTGTCGGCTACTGCTTGTTAACCTGTTGCTTTATTTTGTTTTGATTTCTTTTTCCCTAGGGATGGTAATCATAAACCAGGCGGAGAGGGCTGTGGTGTGGTATTACTGTTGATGACTATTTACAAATCACTGTGCAGTTTGAAACCCGAAGTGACAGTGCGCCACAGAGTACTTGCGTCCTGTAAATTTCATAATTTTTTCTCTCAAAAAACTTTCACAGCGTCCACTGGCGACTGCTTTTGATGATGTCGACATTGTGTCCACAACGAGCACGCCATCGCTTGTGGTGTTGTTTCGTGACCAAAAAAGGGGAAGCCAATCCCAAACCAGACGAAATACCCAGTTTTTTTCGCTGGCCTATATAGATATGAAGGAGTGGGGGTCATCAGTGCCAAAGTCAATGAACAGTTTTTCGAGTGAGTGTGACAGTTTGCGCGCCTCTCTCTTCGGTTCGCATATATTAAATACGACGTAAATTGTCGATCCTTTCTTCCAGCGCATGTTCCTCGGTGGGAAGTCTTTGTCCGTCTTGTTCGGCATGTCTTCTTCGCCCTGTTCTACCTTGCGCCCCGTTCCTCAGACTTATGGCCCGTTTTCTCACCTGCCTGCTACACTTTGTGGCTCCCGTTATTTGTGGATTAAAGTTCGATTGACTTTTACTTTGTACACCAAACCGATCTACATCGGGGCGGGCCAAAAGCACAAGCCAAGTCTTGAGATGTCTTCGAGTATGTTGTGCGACGTACGGCGGAAGGCTTCTCATGCAAGGATTAGATAGAAACTTGAGATATGTTATTGAACGGGCCTGTCCCGTTACTTGGCTCCTGATACGCAAAGACAATGTACTTGGTACGTGAACCCACAAGATACAATGGCCAATGTGACAAAGGACGATGCAAGGCTTGTGAATTGTAAAGAACCGTGACGATCTGCCCGAATTTACAGGCGCCATCACACAACGTACCCCCGAGATATCAGATACGCATACGGAGTACGACATAATCGATGCAAACATATCCGTCCTACGGGAACCGTTGCCGCTTGGACAAATCACAGGTTCAAACATTCAAGAATCCATCCGAAGCGGAGATCTCATGCACATCGTATGTGGTCTCTCCCGCTCCGATTTAAACTTTTTGTATTCATGCCGAGTTCTGTCTTCTTCGTTGGTGTGCTGCAACCAAAAAAAAAGGCATCTTCGAGACGAAAAAAGACGCAATCCCGATTGCAGATGTTCCATACCCTTCCCTTCTGATCCCTCCTCCGTACACATTACTCTTCCCCTCTGAACACCCTACGTGGAGGACGTATTGAGCCATATCCCCAGGAAATGATGGCATCTCCGGGACTGGCATAGGTCGATCGCCCCCTCTCGATTTGTCTTTTGGTGTTTTGCTTTTTCCTGCTGTTCCGCGGTGAACAGGGCACTTTAACCTGCTCTCACAGTATTGCAAGGTGTATTGTGCCTTGCAGTTTTTTTGTGGCGTTTTAGGGCGTTAGGTGTGTGATGGCACGGAAACCGTCAGATTTCAACACTGCAGATAGCACGGTTTATCAGGAAATCTCTTTTGTATTGCATCTCCTACACAAGAGACGAAAATATCAAAACGTAGCTTTTCCTTAACCAAACAGGAGATAAAAAGAACATGAGGCGATTAAAAGTTGACCATGAAAAATGAGTCAAATACAATAAAAAATATGATCGTAGACGACATTTGCTATTTCCGCTATCATTCACATCCTCTCCATCTAGAGGGCTTTCTTCCCCTGTACCAAAAATCCCACATCAAATACAAGATTGTTGAAACACAATGAACACCACCCCGAAGTTGTCAAGAGCAAACCCGTATGACCCCGTATGAAATTCAAGAAAAGTAAAAGAAGAGGTAAAGATACCTCAAAACACAAAGAATCCACCCGTCTTTGTATTGGCAGAGACTGGTTGGTGTAACTGAGGAGAGAGACGTAAAGAAAAAGAGACAAAGGAGACTTTTTCGTTATTTTTGTTTTTTTTTTATTTTACTTGTTTGGCATAGACAATGTACTGTCTAGCCTGACGAGTCTCTTGTCTCGTTCTCCTCATCGGAAACGACAGCAACGGCCGTCTCGGAGTCGGCCTCGGCACCGTTGCGACTTGATGCGCCGTTGGCGTGCTTGGACTTGAAATCCTCGAGCAGCTTTCCCAGGAACTCCTCGTTGCCGGCGTTCTTCTCGAGCACGATACTCTTCAGCCACTTGTTCTCCGTCTCGAGCTGCTGGATGCGGTTGTCGAGAGCGTGAACCTTTTCGTTCATCTCCTTGGCGGACTTTTCGAGGGCCTGCTCGCGCTGCTTCTTCTTGATGCGGAAGCGGGCGCTGGCTGCCGTGTTGCGGCGGCGCTTGTCCTCCTCGGCGGCAACACGGGTCTGGTCCTCAAACGAGACAGCGCCGCGTCCTGCCGGCTGTGGCTGGTGGCTCAGTACATCGGCCTTCCGCTTGTCAGCGGCGGCGGCTATCCGCGGCGGCGTGGGTGCAGTGGACGCATAGCTGGGGTTGTGGTGGCTGCGAGAATGCGGGTGGCTGACGGAGTTAGATGCCGAGTAGACGGACGGCGGGCCGGGTTGGATGGGCTGGTGCAGGCTGCCCAGGTTGTCCTGGTACGACGGAATGGTGGGCGAAGAGTAGGTGGCGCCAAAATCCGGGAAGTTGAAGTCGCCTGAGGACATTATGCCATGTTAGCAAAAGCTAGACACTTTATTGATGCGGGTCGTCGTGTGGCTTGTTCTGTTCTTGTGGTTTTCGTTGATTGAGAGAAAGGAGCGCCGCTTGGTTTTTGCAATCACAGCATGGCTGGCACGACCTTGTGCAATGGGGAGACCCAAGGCTAATTGATGATATAAGATGGAAGACAAAAGCAACAAGAACGCGGCAGGTAAAAGGAAACAGGGAAAGAAAAGGATGTCCGCCAGTGAATATCAGATTATAAAGGAACGCGACGAGGGATCGAGGGATATAGCCAGAAAAGGAAGGAGATTGGAAAGGCTTCAACAAACAACGGAAGGGAAGCAAGAGAAGGAAACAGAAGAAAATAGCAAAAAAAGACGGATGAGAAGATAAGCATAGAGCGTCAAGACGCCATATTTGGGTGCTGCGCTGGGCGACGATTGAAAACTGGGGGAGGGTTTTGGAGAGATGGGCTGCTCTGCGGGCCCCCTTTGTTGGAGTCGGTGTCGATGAGCGCAAGTCACGGGGTATTGCACCATCACATCCCGCAATTTGCGCCATCCTCTTAGGCTCCGCCCATTCCATCTTTTTCGCTTTGAGGGAGGCCGGTTCTGCATGCATTGTACGCAACCACGTTCCAATCAAATGGAGGTTGCCCGCAATCCCCTGGTGCAGAGGGTGACAAAGAACAGGGAAAAGAGGGAAATAAGGGAACAGGGCAAGAAGGGAACGTGCCCACTGGACCCGAGTGACTCCAAATCTGCACCAAAATCCGCAGAGCGATAAAAGACAGGGTCAGGAAACAAGAACACGGGTGGAGCACGAGGAATGCTTTTCCTAATGCTCAGAGCAAACTCTCAAAAACCAACACCAAAAAAACAGTAACGAACAGCCACTTGCTATCCATAAGTTAACGAGTCGGGTGTCAACTTGCATAACATGGGGGAGAGGCTTGAGGCATGAACGTGCAGGAAAACGAATAAAACGGATGTCAAGAAGGCGGACAATGATAAATGACAATAGGAGGATGGAATGATAAGCGAGCATGCGTGCAATCCCGAGCTTGTCATTGGCATCCATCGCATTCTCATCATCACCATCTCGATATGAGTCAACTCTGGTAGTGAGATGAACGAGCACTTGAGTCCCAACATCCACACAAACCAGCATGACGGGAAAAGGCCAAAACAAACGGAGGATATGTGCATAGAATGTGCATAAGGGAAACCACAAAAACAGAACATTATAGACGTTACAAGGGAGCTGATATCAGTTGGGCGTCCGTACCTGTTGTCATAAAGTCCATGTGTGAGAAATCCGCCATGGTGGTCATGGTGTCCTCGCTGAGCGGCGAGACGGCCGAGGAGGCCGAGTTGCTCTCGGAGCCGGGCTTGGGCGGCTGGTGCTGGTTGTGTTGCGGTTGGAAGTCGGTGTTCTGGCCAGTCTCGAGGTCAAAGAACTCAGTGTTGGTGAACATGGAGAGGTCCTGGTCGTCCATGGAGAACGCCGCGTCGTTCTCGACGAGGGTGGGGTTCTCGTGCAGTTCCCGCAGGAACTGCGAGATGTTGGGGCCGCGCCGTCCGTTGAAGGCCATCGTGTAGGGTTGTTGTTTGCGAGACTTGTTGTCTGGTGCTGGTGGTGACGATGATTGGATGCTGTGGCTTGTGCGACCTTTGCGGAAAAAGGAAAAATCTACCGAAAGACTCCTTTCTGGCCCGTTCAAATGTCGTCGATGTCGTCGAGGAGAGAGAGCCCGTTGATTGTTCCGTCTTCCGATCAATCAGCGACTGTCTACGTTTCGGAAATCGTTGTCGTGTTCGTGGTGTTCCGCGCTTCTGGTTGCAAGGCGAGGGGCGAATAGAGAGTGGGAACAGAGCAGACGGGGGCGGAGGCGAGAAGCAGTCGTCGAGATGCGAAATGCGTCACGCTGTCAATTGCCGTCGTAAAAAGACCCACGATGTTGTCGTCCTGGTCTGTTGTATATTTTGCGGAATGGAGAGGAAAAGAAAGAAGAGAAGGGGAGGGGAACGAAAGAGCAGGAAAAGAGAGAGTAGAAGAGTCCTGGATCGGAAGCAACAGGAGACTCGAGAGGCGACGACTTCCCTCTTTCCCACAGTGTGCAGTGGAGCGAAAATTTTACCGTGAGGGAAAGAGCGCACGATGGGTGGGCACCACACCACTCACCACTCCTAGAGTTCACTACCCGTTCTCGCGGCTTCAGCGCCTGGCTCCGTTTGCGCAGCAGCCAAGTTACGCGGGCGAAGAAAGCGAAAGGAGCCAAATACAGCCGAGGAAGCGCGCCCCCCACCCCGGCTCCTTCTCGTCGGAAGTGAGGGTGACTCGGGTTTCCGCCTTTGTTCACTAGTGTTTTTGGTACTTTGTACCTTTGTATTTTCACCAAACAAGGAAAAGTCCGCTATTTTCCAGGGTAATACTGAGCAACTAGCGCCGTTACAGAGGGACAAAAGAGAAAAAGAAAAATGAACTAAGTCGGCCACAGGCCGGAAAGGGGAATTAGGGATGTTGTTTAGCAGGAAACAACGCGGGAGAACGAGAAAGAGCGACCGAAAATCCACGGCGGCTATGCTGTTGGAGCAGGCACAAACGTGGGCGGCAGGTCCCAAACTCTCACACCTCATAATTAGTCAAGCACCAGAAAAAATAGAGGAAAACAGGGGGGGTGTTGACTCGCAAAAGGCCAAGGCAAAAACTATGTGAACCCCACGCTCGCCACCCACCACCCACCCCACTATGACAAGGGCGTATTGCAGCGCATGCGAAAGCCTGGGCCACAACCAAATCCCGGATAGATTGACAGTGCGAGAAAGAACAGGCACTCTAGACATTGGCGCGCCTTTTCTTTTTTTAAAACTCTTATTTTTTAGTCGTTCTGTATGACGCTCTCCACTTGCGAAAGTTGGTGAGAGCGAGGAAACAGGCAGACTGGACTTGAAAAAACACCAAAATTATTAAAATTACACAACAGAACCGAACAGACAGAAAAGTGCAATTGAGGACAGCTCGGACCAAAAATTCGAAGTTCGCGACGAGAGGTGAACCCCCACATGGGATGATGGGCTGGACAATGTCATTTACGACAGTGCAACCACAAGGTCCAGCCGAGACAGAAACCAGCCCCCGCTCGCCCTGGGACGGCTTGTCTCTTTTGGGGGCGTGCGTGGTGGTTCTGGGGGGGAAATGTTGAACGGACCCTGTAAAACTCGTGCGGGTGCATTACCCGGAGTGGGGAGTCTCGCTGCTGAATCGTTGTAAAGTGTGACTGCCCCGCGGCAAGCGCGTGCGTGCCAGGGACACGAGTTCTTGCGCAGTGCCACATGCACATGCTTTATTTCAGCACATTGAACTGCATCTCTGCATGTACGGACGGTACAATGAAGCCAACATCACACACTTTCTCCGCATCCAAGCATGGGGGTGCAGAGAGGGACAATGGCCGTCTGTACGAAGTGTACGATTCGCGATTGTGCAGCGCGGTCACGTTGTTGATGTTTGCACGGATTGGTAGCCAAGCAGAAAAGGCATGGAGATTCCACATCACCAACAGCCCAGCAGCCATCAGCCAGGTTGCCGAGAACTGAAGCACGTGCAGATTGGCGTACATGTTCCGGCAGCCCGCCGTGAGAGAAAGGGATGCGGAATTTGAAAGAGCAGAAGGTAAGGCCTGGACCACTGGAGGCACAGTGGGCCATGCGCCTGTAAAACCGGCGGGTGGCTGCGAAAAGCCCGAATGTCGAACCAAAAGAGAGTCAATTTCCGCGCACCGTATTGGCTCTTGGGCCTTTCCTCACAGAATGCATGCTTTCAGCGTACAGAGACGACTCACTGAGAGCGTTCCGTATTGCGTCGATGTTCTAACCTCGTCGACGGGAGAGATCGTGCCGAACGAATTCGGAATGTAAACTTTTACTGCTGCCTGACTGGAACCTGGAATAAGAAACAACAGAATGATAGCCAAGTAATACGGAGGAAACCACATTTTCTGCACTCGATTTGAAGTCACTTGGCTAAGCGTCTGGCTCCAGGGCGAGGCGTTTCCAACGGCAAACAGCACAGTGCATTTCAACCTACAGTGTTTGCTAACTGTATCTTACTCGCTGTTACGAATGTACACCTTCCACCTCCCAGCACAGCAACGTAACCTGCATTAGCTGCAAATCTGTGTTCTCTTAGCTTGTCGCAGCTGTGAGTTTGTCAGCGTTCGATTTATAATGCACATTCTGAAGCAGCTGTCGAGGACAAGAATTGCATGTAGGCAACAAGGACGGTAAAAATACAGTGAACCTTTGGAGGCCAGAAGAGTTTGACGATGGCCGGACAGGCTCGCCGAGGATCATGATTTGGGAAAGGGCAAAACAGCGAAAGGAAATAGACGGACAATCGCTTCGTGTACGACCGTCACGAAATAAATGAAGTTGTCTCGGTCATCCTTTATTTTGCGCCGCATCTGGCGCATACTGGAAGTCGTTTGGTTCAACGGTGCAATCTGCCTGTTGAGGAATTGGTAATCAACCTGCCACAGGGCGTAGCTAAACTCCGTCATCGGAACAAGCTCGGTAGGTGGACTTGGCAGCGGCCTTGCTCCACCTCTCGTATGTAATCAGCCACTAGCAAAAGGCTGCCACACATTCTCAGCCTTGTCATTCGCAGTGTGAATGAAAAACAAAAGATCAGACCCACGTGTAACAAAACAAGACACTGACAAAAGTTATCTTTGAAGCACTTACTCTCACAAGGTACAGTTGCACTTTATTTGGTCTACTTCGCTTATGGGAGTGGCCGCTTTTGTATATTTTTATCCTCATATACCCTAGCCTTACTTACAGATACGAAGGCAACGGCCTGCACGGCCTGCACGAGGAACTTCTTAGACAGTTTACAAAAGAGAGTCGTAGTCGCGGGTTTCAAATTAGTTGAAGCCATTGACGGCCTTTCAGCGTGCTGCCCTTCGGAAGCAGCTGTAAGACGTTCATTTTCTCCAGACAGAATTATATTAACACTACGAGGTACTGCGACCTTGTGAAGCTAGGTCCTGTAAAAAATGCGATTCCTGACAGAGGCCGAGGAATGTTGTCTTGCACGACGAAAATAAATGTAAGCTTACCTAGTTGTAAAATACAGCACGTGGTACAAGCAACAGCTACTTTTATTACATAATCATATTGACTTCTCTTGTCATCTCCTGTGGCTGGAAGAGGCGGTACAACAATCTTCAGACTCAACGACTCAACGCACGACGGGACAAAAGAAGAGAAGGACAATTGATACCTAGCCGTCGTCATGTCGTGTAATCGGTAAAACGTGCCAGAGTCTATTATATTTTCGATCCGTCTGACGATATCCAGCTAAAAGGCTCGAGACTAGTCCGACTCTTTCGTGCGACCGTGAGGTTTCTTCAGCGGGACGTAGTTCATCGCTCAACGTCAGCATCAGAACTCGCTCTGTTTCCATGGCTGGTCGGGATACCGTTGGTTGAGAATCACTATTAGATGCGACACCGTCAACCATATTGGGCCAGGCTGGCGGCTCGAGTCTCCCTCTTTACTTTTGTCGGCGAGTAGTGGGTGCGGCATCCATTGACTATAGGTATACCGCACAATGTCCTTGGCCAAAACGTCGAGTTCCCGCCCGGAGAAGGCCGGTCGTTGGGCAATGTGCTCGAGCATTGACTCTAGCCGCTTCTTTACCACCGCATCTAGGTTGGAGTCCGTGCTGGTCAAGTTTGGCTTCCAAAGGACTGGCAGTTCAATAAACGCAGTGGCGACCTTTTCCTGGAGTATGCTCAAAATCACGTTGGCGGTGGAGATTGCCGGGAAGCGAAGCTGCGTAAATGGGCCGGTTGCCAGGCTGGCGGTGCTAGCACTGACGGCCTCGCTCGTGGCGCTGTCCTCTTCGAAGACAACAACGAGGTTGTGCGTCCACAGATGTCCGTCCGCCTCCAAAAGCTCTGTGATGTAGGCCAGAATCTTGTCCCGGCAGGCTGTTGGGTCCTCGCCTTTGTCATCGGTGAGGTGCCGTGTGTCGTCCGTGTTTTTGTGGCCGCGAATATGGAGCACTTTACCAAATGCAAATGCCATCATACGCTTAACCTGCACCTCGGACACTCGCATAATGTCCTTGGCATGGCCAAGTCCGTTGCCAATGTTCGATTGGGATCGGGGGTACATGAGCTCGGATGTGTTGCAGGACACGACCTCCTGTTTGTCCACTAAACCAAGGGTAAAGTACAGTGGCACAAGGATTTTGTTCAACACCAACGTTTTGCCGCTGCCAGGAGGCCCAGAAAATAAAAAGAGATACGGGATGTGCGGCCGTGGATCTTCCAGCTGGCCCTGCGTCAGATGTGTAGCCGTGGTATCAATGGTCTCAAATAGGTGCACAATGTGGCCGAGCCCAAATAAGTTTCTGACTGTTGGGCTGGAAGAGACACGGCCGCTAGACCGCTGTGCGATTTTCGCATCGTTGTTGGAAGGCACCGTGGACGAGCTTGATTCGGAGCGTCGATGCCAGCTGTCTCCTTCGTCCGACGGCATGTCGTCGAGCGTGCTGGCACGAGACGCTTCGAATCTCATTGCATGCAGCGCAACGCGCTCAACAAAGCAGATGTTGTCGAAACTTGGCCGCAAGCGTGCAATCCGCATCGCCCGCAAATCGGCCTTATACATTGGCCACGGTTGGCCGTGTTGTCTTGAGAGACGCCGTTCGAGCAACAACGACAGCTCCCCAACCGAATATGGTCTGAGGGAAATGGTTTGCGTCGTGCGCAGGAACAGCTGTCGCAGGCTCGAAGATATCGATGCATGAGAGCTGTCCATGTCTCTTTTGGAATCAGTCAATTGGAGCGGGAGGCGAGCAAGATTCGCGCCTGAAGATTGTGTAGCAAGGCCGACGAGAACGAGAACCGGACCCGTGTCCTGCACATCCAGCGTCTTGACGCGTTTGGCCAAAAGATCAAAGATGAAGGGCCGGATCTCATGATTCCTGTGTCGTACTGCTTGAGGGGGGAGTTTGTCGTGGATGGCGTCAATATCACCACCATCGTCTTGCTCGTCTCCGTTGGAGTCCTCTTCGTCACTATCCTCACGTTTTGCGTTGTTGGACGTTTCTTGTACAGCAAAGCCTAGGCCATTTATGCATATGTCCTCGACAATGACGACTCCGACATTTTTTGTGTCAGTGAAAGCATTGTGAACGTGCCGCTCAATATCTTGACGTGTCAGGCCGTTGAGAGATGCAAGCGATAGTGTGACGGTTTCCATGCCCTCGACAAGTCCGAGCCGCCACAAGATGCGTGCGTACAGTTTGGCCACTGTCCGCCGTCCTGTTCCGGGCGGTCCGACAAAACAACGGTGCAGCGCCGCTCTCTGATACCGGGACAACCGTGTCTCGTTGTTGTACAGACGCTGTTGCTGATTCCGTTGTTCACTTTCTACCAGGGCCGTCACGTTTGCTTTGACGCCATCGAGACCAACCATTTGCATCAGCTGTTCGTATTCGCTAACGCGTGCCCGGACTTCCCATGGCTTTTCGCCCAGAAGGTGGCAGCTCCCATAGTAGTGATCGGCAGACTCAAGTGCAGCGATAGTAATGGCCCCAGTCGTTGTCCAGTACGGGCGAAGACGCCGCTGGCGAAGCATCCTGGCGCTCGACTCGAGTGTTGTCCACTGCTGCCATGCTCCTCGATATCTGTGCCCCCGTATGATCCGTTCGATTGTCTTTGAAATCACATTTCCGCTGGGACCGTCTTCAACCTGTAAGGAGAGGGAATCTCCAAAACCAAGGAGAAAACACAAGCCATGACACAACTCTGTAAATGTAAGATCTTCGGCGTGGACTGTCGGCACAGTGGACTGGAGATTTCCAAACTTTCCTCCCCTGGAAGACGTTCCGACGCCGATCCAGACGATGTGCCAATCGTTTTCTGGTCCGTTGGATTTCCATGGGGCCTGCTCTATTGTGTTGACAAGCTGTGCCTGATCGCTTGACGTGTCTGCGTGGTACACAAGCACCATCTAGCAGGCTGCATTAACAAGTTGCTCACTGAACACACCAAGGATAACACGACTTCTAAGGGAGCAAATACATACACTTTTCTTCGACGGGCTGTCGACATTCTGCACCAGAGTCTTGTTAACAGTCTGCAGTGCGGTGGCGAAAGACGCAGGTTCTTCGGTAAAGTAGTGTATCAAAGACGGTCGAGGAATGACTTGCAGTGACACCAACAGCTCACGATAACGCAATGCAGCAAGGTCCTGCCCGGCGCTTTCGTTGCCCTCGATAAAGATGTCGGTGTTGCCAGCCTCGCTCGGACGCAGCGGCACTGGTACCGAAACAATACGCTCGTACAGGGAGAGGCAGTGCTTCTTAAAGCCCTCTAGGCCAAAAAGGCCCATGATACGCTCCATGACCTCGCTCCCTTCCATACCAGCTGCTCTTTTCTGCAGCCAGAGAATGCGCGTCGGGGATTTGTCGCGTACATCTCCCAGCAGCTCAGAAAGTACTGGGTAGATGGGCACGATGCTGAATGGATTATACATCTGCTCTGGTTGCCAGTCAGACAAAGCTGTGGTGGTAGCAGGCCCTGGCGGAGTCGGTGGCTCTTGGTGTGTTTTTTGTCCGTCGAGGCCGGGATGTGAACGAACGACGGTGTCACTTCCGGTTCCTGAACCCGCGTCTCCTAAAAGGTGTTAGCTTCTGCTTTGCCTGGTGGTGTGGCTTTTGTTACCGTATTTTTTAATTTGCGTCTCACCCTTCGGCGGGCCACGTGAAGTGGCCCTGGTCGACTTTCTCTCCTTCGATTCTTCTCGGTCCTTGTCGCTTTCGGACCCTGAGTAGTAGGGTATTTCACGTTGACGTCTAAGCGCTTCTTGCTGGGAAACGGATGTGTTTTGAAGAAGACTGTAGACAACGTTTGAGGCTTTGTCTGGTCGGCTTCGATCTCGACCTATTTTAAGATGCCGCATGTCGTCCTCTTGGCGGGGTCTTCCTCGGCGCAGGCGGCGTTCCAGCACCCTATCGATGCTAGAAGTGCTTTCATCTTCGCTGGATTCAATATGCAATTTCCTGGACCGCGATCGAGTACGCGTTCGCCGAATGTTCTTGCGAGGTAGCTCCTCGGATGGTTCGAACGGCTTTGGCTGTGCCAGCCCACCTGGCACCGTTAGGCGATCTACGCGAGATGACCGGCTGCGGAGGAAGGACATGATGCTGACGTCAAAGGAGATGCTATGGGCCACGAAAGGTAGAGTCCGTCAAGTGTACGAAGACTGGCAAACACAGTTTATGTCGTTGGAAAGCTTACAGTTGTCGACCCCTCAAACGACGCCGGCCCATCCATTTTCAGCCGCATTCTCACAGCCACTCGTCGACGATTGGCCAAATGCGGCTCAGTGACTTTCGCCAAAATAGGCGCCGTGGGTTGCCTTGCGTTTCATAATTTTTGTGCCTTGTGCTGAAAAGTGGCCAATCGTCGTGAATTGATCCCGCCGAGGTTCTGCGGGCTTCGTACATGGTGAGTCCAAATTGATCGAACGGTACTTCGCCGACAAAAGGTGCATTGATGGGCATCGTAAGTCTTGTAGGAATATTCGTATATTGGAAAAGTGGCATCATCGACAAAGACTCCTTTCTTCTCGTCGTTTCCTTATGAAAACACCAAATAATGCGCCTTCCATATGGGGGTGGTACTGGTTGTGGGAAGGAGCGACTGGTAGTCCGCAGCACACGCTGCGACCGCGTGCTTCCACGGCCCGTCGACGATGTTCAAAACCGCACATGACTTTTTCAACCGGCTGGCAACTTTTCGGTTGGAAAACAACAAAGAGAGGTAGCATGTGCTGCTCGACATTAAAATGTCTGGCCCGGCATCGGGCGACAGCAACGCAGATATCTCTTATTGTGTCGAATGCTTGGAATGCCTCAAATAAATAGACAGATACAGAAGGGAAGGTTGTGTTTGGAGTACTCCTGTATGCAATTTATTTCATCACACAATTAGCCGCTACTCCAGTCCTCGTCCATCAATCTGGTTTTCTTTTCGCACTACATTTAAACATGATCGAGCCTATTGGACGGTTGTTGAAGCGGGTAATTGTCACCTTGCCCCTTATGACACACTGTACTTGAAAGAACCACTTGATGTTGCAACCAGGTCCAGGCAATCCGTCTTGTCTCGTTCAACTACCTGGTTGTCATGTTCTGCCAAGTGCCTTTCCTTATTGCTTCCAGGTATCTTGCCGAGTCATCGTTGCGGGCCATTTAGAGGATCCCCTGTCTCCACGTTCTGTATAAATGAATTCTGCACTATATTTGGCAATACTTCGGTAGAAATCACCAACACCAAGAGAAAATCGAGAGGCTGGAACTTCCATCGGACAATTCTGGCTGCGAACAGACATGTCTCGGCCATCTCTCGAGTAAACCGCGGTTGCATAAATAGAATGAGCGAGCTTGGTACCCTGCCGGTTTCCACTCCCCGCATCTATTAACATGCATATGCACGACACTTTTATGGATTAGCAGCGCTGTGTTACAAGACACCGTTACCTATCGTTAGAATATAGTCGCCAAGTCCGTCTTATCGAACCAGAAAACTACACTACGTGTACCACTCACAACTCTTGTCAGCATATCGCATTACAAACACACGATACACGATTGCACAGCGTCGTACTATGGCGCCTGCCAAAGGAGCATCGGAGCGCATCCTGGCTGTCCTTCTATCCCGAGACTGGGCACCGGGAGGTCCGCCTGGCGATGGGCCGCCCTTTGGTCATCCACCAGGCTGGCACTACTACCTCAGCCCCGGCGCTATCGCGGCCATTGTGCTCGGCATCTTCTTCTTTCTGCTGCTCGTCGGCTGCATCTGTGTGACGTACTCATCACGGTTCAAAGGCCGGCGTCGACGCAGCCGCAGTCGCAGCACGCGCTCCTACTACGCCGACACGACGTCATACGCAACGCGAACAGCGGGTGGTGCAGACAGCGCGAGAGTGCGAGGTGGTGGTAGCGATGGTCAGGCTTATTACTATTACTACCCGGCGGAATATACAACGACGGCGGCCGCCGCTACGGGTCCAGGGCAGATGGCAGCAGGAAATGTACGAGTGCCTGCCACAACCACACGAGCCAAAGCGGCGCCAAAGTCTGTGACATCGCCATCTTCACCATCTTCGCCATCGTCTGCGTCATCACAAAGCTCTGCAGCATCGGCCTCGACGAGGGGCCGGGCTGTGTCCTCAAATGCATCAGATGCAGCCACGCTGGCCATGGGAACGGAAAAGATACCCTCGACCATGGTCGAAGACGTTTCGTCTCCAGTCACATTGCCTCGCAAGATGAGAAGTGCGAAAACAAGGAAGCAAAATGGGCGCAGGCGCTGATACAAGCGGAATGGACATGTGACGATAAAGCCCGAAGGGGAGGGCTTGTAAGAGGAAGAACTTATTTCTTTGACTATATTTTCATGTAGACAATATAAATCTACAGTCGATGTGCTCCCGCTTCCTGAAGAATGACAAAGTACGTTCAAATAAGAGTGGCGCTATATATACGGATATACGTTATACACGACTGGGGCAAGCGTCTACTATTTAAAGTATGTTTATTGTCTAGTCGGTTAATATATGCAAGTCTGGTAAGTTTTGAGTCAGGATCCATAGATGATCCACCATATACATGCCACCCTCGTCACGCCTTTGTCCGGTCCGCGTCAGCTGTTCCTCGGAGGAATCGCTCGACGTTCTCCTGCACCACCCGCTGGTAGTTGGCCCGTGTGCTCGCCGAGACCCACGCCGTGTGGCCCGTGACAATCAAGTTCAGGTCCTCGGTCGCGGCGGCGGCGACAAGAGGGCTGGACTCGGGCGTGGCCGGCTCGTGGTCGAACACATCCACGCCCGCACCGCCGATACGGCGCGCCCGCAGCGCATCCACCAGAGCCTGTTCGCCGACAATGCCGCCGCGCGCCACGTTGATGAGAATCGTATCCGGCTGCATTTTTGCAAACTCAGCGGCGCCAATCAGGTTCTTCGTGTCCGGCACCAGCGGACAGCAAACGACCAGGACGCTGGCGCGCTGGATGACCTCATCGAATGGCACGCGATCGCTGTTGCGCTGCTGCGTCGCTGTGGTTGTGGTAGTGGTAGTGGGGGCCGCCGTCTCGCCCCGCCGCCCAGACACGATAACCTTCATGCCCAGTGCGCCAAACAGCTGTGCCGCCGCCTGGCCGACGCCGCCGTACCCGATAATGCCGACCGTCTCGTCGTAGCAGCTGCGTGGCGGCGCACCCGCCGTGTAGGCGCGCATCATGATGCCGCCCATGTGGGACCAATCGCCGCGGCCGAGGGCGCGCTGCACGGGGAAGAGCGACCGGCGCGCGGCGAGGTACAGGGACACCACATGCTCGGCGACGGAGATGGAGTTGCAGTTGGGGCTGTTCAGGACGCGGATGCCGCGGGCGGCGCACGCCGCCAGGTCGACGGCGTCGACGCCCGATGCCATGACGGCAACCAGACGCAAACGGGGCGCATTGGCCGCGGAGAGTGCCGCCGCACGGATGGGCACGACGGTCGTGATGACAATGTCGGCATCCTGGATGCGCTCGGCCACCTGGTCAGCCGTGGTGCGCTCGTACTCGGTGAGGGTGTAGGTGTACGGTTTGGGGATGATGAGTGGCGGCAGAGGCGTGAAGAACGTCTCGAGGGCCACGATCTTGAGGTGCTGCGGCAGCGGAGGATCATGCACGTAGGTGGTGGCGTCGGCGATCCGCGCTGCCACATCGCTGTCGTCCTTGCCGTTGGCAGTTGAATGTGCCATTCTCTTGTGGAATACAAGGGGGCGAGGGCCTGACTGGAAAGAGCGGCCAATAGACGACGTGGATAGCAGGAGCAGCGTGGGGGGCGTGGAGGATCCACGGAAGGAGCGAGTGTACGGGGATACTCGCGAAAGCGCGGCCGGAGTCTGTTGGGCTTGAAAGCGAAGTTGTGTTTGCCACCCCGTGCTTTGCCGGACTTGCGCAAACGAGAAAAATGAAGAGAACGTCGCTGATGTTGGTGCTGCCAATGTGCTCGACGTGGCTGATACTGCTCTGACAAATACTGCTGATACACCTGATACCGACGCAGTGAATTGTGACTGCTGTGTCTTGCCAAAATTAGTTGCCAGCCGTTGTGTAAATGGCACACCAAAACCAGAGGAAAGGCACGACCGAGGGGGCATCTGTCTCGATCCTGGCGTCGTTGGTTGCTGTCACGATATGATTGCTAGAGTGTTCGGTAAGTTCCGCGGTGGTCGATTTTTAGGAAAGCTACCAGTATGCATAGGGCGTTTTATATTGTCTGGGCGGTGGTCGCGCAATACGGTTTTGTGAAGGTGCAAAAGAAAAGAAAAAAAAAGAGGAAGGAAGGAGAAGGAAGGCGAAGGATTTAAACGGCGGCATAGAACGTTCTGTCAGGGCTGTACGAATCTGGCAAGTTTCGTGGAATTTGCAGAGTGTCATGACAATTGATTGGGTAGATTGAGCATCGTTCCGCTGGAAAACGGTCGGCCCGGGCTCAAAGTTGCCAAGACATTCGACCAAGAAACAATAAAATCTCTCTCGAAAAGTACCCCTCCAAACAGATGTCACCGACAGGGCGCACACGACGATGTGGGCCCTTATGGTCGTGGCACGTGACCACGTTGGCCGATCATAACATCACCACGCGACGACGTAGTCCTCTCAGCCTTCGTACGTTACCTGGAGGGAAAAAAAGGGAGACCAACAGAACGAGCGTCTAGAGCAAGATAATATCATCTCCAGGATGCGAGTATTGCTCATTTTTATATACGCCTAGGATCCATCAGATCTCAATGCTCGTGATATACCATTTTGAAGTGTTCTACTAATCTGCTATATGTTTACAAATACTTTTTGCTGATGCCCGTCTACCATTTAAATAAGACGGATAATTCCGATATCCCCAAGTACTTGTTGTGGTGGCTCGTGAGCCTGGCTTCGTCTCCCTTGGACTCGCGCAGATCAATGTCTGCGTCTCGTTTATCCTTATACATTGGATGATGCTGCCTCCCTTTGTGCGTCCTTGGCGGCCTTCTTCGCGGCCTTTTTGGCCATGGTGTTCTTGCGCCACTCAGCACCGCGGAACATGACCAGCCACAGGACAGGACTAAATACCACCCACACGCCGGCAATGAAAAGGGCCGTGAA